GCATATTAATGTAGCTTGAGCATGGGTTTATTGAAGGACCGCATGAACCTTTTTTTTATTAATTGTTTTGAGATGATATGGCACGAGCAAGTTGGCGGCTTTTTATCCCAAATCCCCCTTTTCTTGTCATTTCATATAGTAGACTGAGTCGGGAGACGAGCACACGAGCAGCCACACCAAATACATACTAATGAACAGGGCTCGCTATTTACTTTAGAGCAAAGAGGCTACGTAAAGACATGGACACAGGGGCTTGATTTATGGTTGCTATCATATCTGATAAAATGGTTCATACGGTTGAGAGCTGAAAGCATCATTCAATGGAATGGACTTTCGACGGAACGTTTAACCGAATTACATGCAGGTGGTCATCTAAATGCACCAAATAAGCTGTTTGCTAGCCGATCCATCCAATACTTAGTGGGTCTTGACTCAATGCCTGAGAATTATTGATATTGCTCCTACTGCATATTTATTGTCTGAATTTTGGCCAATCAGACACGTAAAGAAGGATTTCAAGAGCGTCCGTCCTGGAGCCTTGTGTGCATTTTATGTGGACATGCTGATGGCATCAAGAGGATTCATAGGCGTCGAGTGCTGACCATTCTCTTGTTTATTGACTTAAAGTGGAAGATCTTACTGATGTTCCGTGTCATATTTGGGTAGCCGCAAGATGAAAACGGGCTGCAGACGGGCCAGAGCTTTCCAAAGGAACACTGCTGTTGCTCTGTGGGAAGGCACTTGATTGGTTTGAGTCTTTCTACTGTGCGTATCTCTGTCTTATGTGCCCAGTTTTCTTCCGGATGTGTTGGTCTGACCTCGTATGTTGTTATGAACCTTGACACAGAGAAATGCAAAGGTAGGGGGCGGAAAAGAGAAAGAAAAAGAAAACAAATAAAATGGAAAAGCAGGTTGAATACTGGGTCATCTATTCCAGTCATCCCCTGAGCAAAACTGGGAGGATCTGTGAACTAGAATACGGGAAGCCGAAGTATAATAAGGAGCTAGTAAGCCCTCGCAAGTCCACTCCAAGTATAGAAATGAGGGGCTAGGAAATACGTCTACAGCAATAGATTGGGCATGATCTCGAGGTGAATAGGCAATAGCAGGTAGTGGACATTGACTGCTCCAGATACAGAAGCCAAGAAGGAGAAGCCAAACACACATTGCAGCTTCACGAACCCGCTCGCACTTGGGCAAATGTCTGGTCTCGAATCCTGAGTCCTGAACCCTGAACCCCACCATCAATCGCCATGATCAAAGCTCCCCACTACTGAGTTACCCCTCACTTGTGTTGTCGTTCTCATGACAAAGGTACCCGAACCGCCAGCCACTTGCCCAGGCGTCTCGGCCCCCAAGATGGCTATCAGTTATGACAGACCCTCCCTCACCGCACAATTGACGGCGCGACGTGCTGGTGTTAGGCGGGTACATTGGGGGCGGCGTACCTCAGCACACAGACTTGAAGTTCTGTCAACTCCCAGCGATGCTCTGGACGCTCCTGCGAAGCTCATCACCGTTGCCCCTCCGGACTGCTGGATCCTGATGCCCGTCTCACCCTCGCCTGCTCGCGATGTGTCGTCATATGGCGGCGGGCCACACGTGCCCCTCCTCAAAGCAGCATGTTCAGCGTGTCCAGGCGTGTCAGCACTGGGGGCAGGCGCGTTCTCAGTGGCCGCACGGCGCCCAAGCCCCCACTAATTGGTGCGCTGGAGGCAGGAGGTACCTTACCCAGGGGGAAGGTGTACTTGCCTAAACAACTCCGCCTTACCTAAGGTAAGTTTTCTTACAAGCGAATGAATGCGTGTCAGTCTGCGGGCTCCCAAACGGCCTACAGATACCGTCGTACGGCCTCATGTCTCTCCTCCTGCAGCCCTCTCTTCTTCTCAGAAGACTGCCTCCAGCCCTGAGAACTGCAGCCCTTCGTCCCACCAGTTTGCCACGCCGATCCGTCCCCCGCTTCGCAAACAGTCTCGCCCACTATCAGAGATTTTCCTCGTCTGCCATCATGAACTCCCAGGAGCTTGTACACTACCTGGCTGACCAGCCACCCACCGTCGTCAGACTGGAGATTGAGAAGCACTTCGAGGCCCTCAACGACAAGCAGAAGCGTTATGCCCATTTCATCAGCAAGTAAGCCGTCTCAGCGTAGCTTAGTGCCCATTCGTCCTTCCAATTAGAGACTAACCTGAGCCGTAATTGTTAAAGGGCCTCATTTGCTGGCACCAGGATCGTCCTGCGGCAGCTGTCCCCAGAGTCTGAGCCCATATATGACTTGATCATCTCCCTCCACAAGAGCTCCGATGGTGATTGGGATGCCCTTGGCAGGAAGGCTGGCATTGACCAGTCTGAGCTGACCAGCTTCCTCGAGTATGCCGTCATGTTCCTGGGCAACTCAGGCAACTACAAGAGCTTTGGTGACTCCAAGTTTCTCCCCCGCTGCACCGAGAAGAGCGTGGCTGCTCTTGCTGCCACTTGCCCGGAAGCCTCCAAGTTCTATGCTGCTACCAAGGGTGCCATCTTCAGCGCCAACACCCCAGCCTCGCTGCACCTGGGATTCCCCGATGCTGGCCACATGACAACCTACTATCCCGACTCTCCCGATATCACCAAGGCTGAGATCGAGGCTGTTTCTGCCTGGATGGAGAAGAAGGGCCTGCTTCCCGAGAACAACCGTCTACGGAAGAACAAAGATGGTAACTTTGACATTCTGATCGCCTCAGCCATCACCCAAGCCCCGGCTGAAGGAGGTGATATCGGCAAGGAGACCAAGTTCACCGTCGAGGATGGCCTGCTAAAAGACAAGACCATCAGCCTCGTGTATGGTGACTACGCTGATGAGATGAAGAACATCACTGCATACATCAAGCAGGCTGGTGCAAATGCAGACAACGCCACTCAGGAGAAGATGCACGAGGCATACGCCAAGTCTTTCGAGACTGGTTCCCTGGAAGCATTCAAGGATAGCCAGCGTTACTGGATCAAGGACAAGGGCCCCATGGTGGAGAGCAACATTGGATTCATTGAAGCCTACCGTGACCCGGCTGGTATCCGTGGTGAATGGGAGGGATTTGCTTCAAGTTTGTTACCCTACCTACCCATTGCATTACTTGGTTGACTATAGAAGCTAACATATCCATTAGTGGTCAACAGTAAGGAGCACACATGCACTCTCGATTGATTGACAAGCTAACACTAGATTTTCAAAGTGGAACGAACTCGAGCCTTCGGTGAGCTTGTGGCATCAGCACCCGCTCTCATCCCCCTTCTGCCATGGGAGAAGGAGTTCGAGAAGGACAAGTTCCTGTCACCTGACTTCACTTCTCTGGAAGTTTTGACCTTTGGAGGTATGGCCAGTGCCGGAAACATTCCGAATGACTCCTTGCTAACCCCTTTTTGATAGGATCTGGTATTCCCGCTGGAATCAACATGTAAGCACGACCGTCTCATACGCCGTATGAGAACTGCGATTAAGACTGAAGCTGACATGCCTCAGTCCTAACTACGATGACATTCGCCAAACAGAGGGTTTCAAGAACGTGTCACTTGGCAACGTTCTCAGCGCCAAGGCTCCCAACGAGAAGATCCCTTTCATTCGCGAGGAGGATCTAGAAGTTTACAGGAAATACCGCGACGCCTCCTTCGAAGTCCAAGTTGGTCTTCATGAACTGACAGGTAGCCAAAAGTCCCGGCACATATATCTCTTGGCATCTGAGTGTTGCTAACGTTTACAGGACACGGATGCGGCAAGCTTCTTCAAGAGACATCTCCCGGAGTCTTCAACTTCGATAAGGAGAACCCTCCTGTTAGCCCAGTGAACGGCAAGCCCATCACTACATGGTACAAGCCTGGTCAAACTTGGGGCTCTGTTTTCGGGAGCATCGCTGCTTCGTACGAGGAATGCCGTGCTGAGCTGGTCGCTATGCATCTCAGCTGCGAGTTCTCTGCGCTCAAGATTTTCGGATTTGGCGATGGATCCATAAATATGGACGGCGAGGCTGGAGACGTGCTTTACGCCTCATATCTCTCCATGGCTCGAGCCGGCCTTGCCTCTCTGGAGATGTGGGATCCCAAGAGCCAGAAGTGGGGACAGGCACACAGCCAGGCTCGTTTCTCTATCCTGAAGTGCTTCCTCGAGGCTGGGGACGACTTCTGCAAGCTCGACTACGCGGCTGAGGATCTCTCCGATCTGACCATCAAGTTGGACCGGTCCAAGATTCTTACAGCTGGTCGCGATGGTGAGCTAAACCCCAACTTGTAACTACCCTGTTGTTAATTTGACGCTAACGATTCGTAGCCGTCGGCAAGTACCTGCAGAAGCTGCACATCTACAAGTCAACAGCCGATGTGGAGACTGGTAACAAGTTCTACGTCGACATGACCACCGTCGGTCTGGACTTCTGGGGAACCAAGGTTCGTGACATCGTGCTGAAGAACAAGCAGCCCCGCAAGGTTTTCGTCCAAGCCAACACCACTCTGGATGAGGCAACCGGAAAGGTATCAATCAAGCACTACGAGGCTTCCCTGGCAGCCATGGTACAAAGTTGGGTGGATCGAAACTTGTAAAATTATTAGAGCGTTGCCCTATTAGCCATGTAGAACACAAAATAAATCATAAACGCATGAATGATCAGTTTTTTTATCCTTTTAAAACAATTGTGCCTTGGCTCCAGTCCAAGGGAAAGGTAAAATTGGAAAGTGTGCTCAGGGATCCAATGACAAATGGCTATCATCACACCATAAGGACTGAAGCAGTATACCAAAAAAGGACTTGGACGCCGACACCACAGCCTCCCTCAGGAAGCTAAAGAAATGTGTTCATGATCGTTTTGTTTTTTGACTGTAAAACCTGATTACAGACGCCAAATGTGACCGATGCCGTCGACTTCCAAATGCAATTGGCCTAACTAGCCCATTTCGGAGACCCTGCCCATTCTACAATACCGTCGTTGCCGCCCCCATTTTCCTTTCCCCCACGCCTACAGCGAAGCAGAAATTGCCTACCACGACATCTCGTGGGGCTTGTCACCCTGTCGCAGGCTGAAAGAGCTAGCGAGGTAGCTGGGGAGAAGCTCGATCTTCTTGATGCTGGCGATGAGGGGCTTGTCGATAGCCTTCTGGTCGGCAGCGCGGCTGCTGCTGACTTCCTTCTTCTGTATCGGGGTAAAAAATCTCACGTTAGCTGGCCTTCTTTTTTTCAATTGTACGTGCGAAGAATTCAATTCTAGCGTACCTTGGGCTCCTCTCCCTGCTTGAAGAAAGCCTCCTCACCGGCCTTCTGCTCGGCCTTCTCGGCGGTGAAGTACTTGGGCTGAGCGACCTCGTCGACCTTCTTGAGGTCAAGACCGCTGACGTCGACCTTGTAAGAGGTGGCGATCACGTATCGGGAGTTGACTCTTCGGAGGGGGACACCGTTGATCTTGAAGGGGCCGGTGACGAGGAGAACACCCTGGTCGAGAGCCTTCAGGAGGACGACACGCTTGCCGCGGAAGCGGCCGGCGAGGAGGATCAGGACGGTACCGGGCTGGAGGGACTTGCGAGGGGCCCAGGCACGGACGGCCTTGCGAACCTATTGACACCACAACTGTTAATATTTGTTTTCTTGTGGGTGTGTGGTGAATTATGCCATCTTGATGCCGGTTTCCATCCTTGCTCAGTTGTCTTGTTGCATTGAAGTCGTCGATGCATGTTGGTGCTGGTGGGCTTTTTGATATCCAAGAATTTTGCCTTGTGAAAACCGCCGACAACTTGTCCCATCATCGATCCCAATTCAATGCGCAACCCATTGCCCTTCCCTCATAATCCCTCTCGCAGTAATGATGGTATCAAGATGGCATATAGGGGAAACACATTCGCTTCCGACTCACCAGCTTCTTCTCGGCATCAGCTTCGGCAGGATACCACTTCTTGGCCTTCTCCGTGGAGGCGGGGACCGCCCGGGTCGACTTGCCAAACGTCTTGTTCTGAGGCTTCGCCGACATTGTGACTGTCTCTCGGGGGGTTAGTCGTCGAATTGGGGGGAGGGATGTGAAGAAAGGAAGCGTTTGGTGATGCAGCGCCCGAAATGTTGGGAATTGTTTGTGAACGCCGCTAGCGAGTTGTGTGGGAGCAAAATGTGAACCCTCTGGCGCTAAGCCGCTTCTAGAATAGATACGTACTCCGATTTTCGACCGCCCACGACAACATGGGGCTATACGCACGTGATGACCTGCGATCTCTTATCCTTATCAGAGATAAGATAGGACTGGACCGAGACTGCCGGAAGATGCGAGAAGTTGCGCCGAGGGCGGCCATGACGCTTCTGGTGGTTTGACGGCAGGGCCTCGTTGCTTCTAGACCCGCAACGGCGAATGGCCTTGTGTATATCTACGGGCTCAATCGACCAGCTGGAATCTGTGATGACTTGAACTTGTATTTGTTCAATTTCTTTTGTTTTATTCACCCCCTCGAGACACGATATTTTGTAAATAATCAATCATACTTTCATTTTCCATTCGTTCACACACCATGCAAGCAAGACGACATCTGATAACCACGGCCCGGCGTGTTGGAGCTGGTGCCTCGACCAGAACCCTGCGACCAATTACCCGCGCAGCGACCTGCCAGGCTCTTGGCCCGGCAATTCTACACCTAAGACCGCTCCCAAGCATCGCCATCCGAACCTATGCCAATGGCCGAGGCCCTCATCCGCCGGGCGGCACGCACCGCATGAACATGGGGGGAGGGGAGGAGGAGAAGCCTGCTCTGGAACAGTTTGGCATTGACCTCACAGCCCGGGCCAAGGATGGAAAGCTCGACCCCGTCATTGGACGAGACTCGGAGATCCAGCGAACAATACAGATCCTGTCTCGGAGGACCAAGAACAACCCTGTCCTGATCGGCAATGCTGGCACGGGAAAGACGGCCATCCTCGAGGGTCTCGCTCTGCGGATCGTGCGCGGAGATGTCCCAGAGAGCATCAAGAACAAGAGGGTGATCAGCCTAGATCTAGGCTCCCTCATTGCGGGGGCCAAGTTCCGCGGCGACTTTGAGGAGAGGCTGAAGAAGGTGCTGGACGAAGTACAAAAGGCAGAGGGCGAGGTCATCCTGTTCATCGACGAGCTGCACATCCTGCTCGGGCTGGGTAAGGCGGAGGGGTCGATCGACGCCTCCAACCTCCTCAAGCCGGCGCTGGCCCGTGGCGAGCTCCAGTGCTGCGGCGCCACCACGCTCGCCGAGTACCGGCTCATCGAGAAGGATGTTGCGCTGGCCCGGCGGTTCCAGCCCATCCTTGTCAACGAGCCCTCTGTGGAGGACACCATCAGCATCCTGCGTGGTATCAAGGACAAGTATGAGGTGCACCACGGTGTTCGCATTACCGACGGCGCTCTCGTGGCTGCTTCCACGCTCTCGAACCGGTACATCACTGACCGGTTTCTTCCTGATAAGGCGATCGACCTCATGGATGAGGCAGCTAGTCACTTGAAGTTGCAGCATGAGTCCAAGCCGGAAGACATCATGCGTCTTGACCACAAGATCATGACCATCCAGATTGAACTCGAGAGTTTGAGGAAGGAGAAGGACGTCGCCAGCAAGGAGCGAAAGGAGAAGCTCGAGGCCGATCTCAAGAAGTACCACGAGGATATCTCAGAGCTCAATGCCCGCTGGGATAGGGAGAGGGCTGAGATCGAGTCTGTCAAGAAGGTCCAGGAAGATCTAGACAAGGCCAGATTCGAGCTCGAGCAGGCCCAGCGAGAAGGGCATTTCGCCAAGGCATCGGAGCTGAGGTTTGGAACTATCCCAAGCTTGGAGAAGAAACTTCCGAAGGAGGGCGAGCCTGTTTCAACCCAGGGCGACGACGTCCTCATCCACGATTCTGTTACGGCAGATGACATTGCGAATGTTGTGTCCCGTATCACGGGCATTCCAGTGTCGAAACTCACATCCGGGCACATTGAGAAGCTCGTTCACATGGAAGACTCGCTTCGAGATTCGGTCAAAGGTCAAGATGAAGCCATCAAGGCCGTTTCCAACGCCGTTAGACTCCAACGTGCGGGTCTCAGCGGAGAGAACCGTCCTCTGGCATCCTTCTTCTTCCTAGGACCAACCGGCGTCGGAAAGACGGAGCTTTGCAAGAAGCTCGCCAACTTCCTGTTCTCCACGGAATCAGCAGTGGTACGTTTCGACATGTCGGAGTTCCAGGAGAAGCACACCATCTCCCGACTCATCGGCGCACCCTCGGGCTACGTCGGCTACGAAGATGCTGGACAGCTGACCGAGGCGGTCCGCCGCAAGCCGTACGCTGTTCTTCTCTTTGACGAATTCGAGAAAGCTCACCGAGATATCTCTGCCCTACTGCTGCAGGTCCTCGACGAGGGTTACCTCACCGATGCTCAGGGCCACAAGGTGGATTTCAGAAATACAATCATCGTTCTTACGTCAAACCTCGGTGCCGACATCCTCGTCGGCCACAACCCCCTCCACCCGTACAAGGAGACTGAGCAGGGCGATATCGACCCCTCGGTCCGGAATGCCGTCATGGATGTCGTCTCGAACTCCTATCCACCAGAATTCCTCAACCGAATCGACTCGTTCATCATCTTCAAGCGTCTCGCCAGGGATGCCATCCGCGAAATTGTCGATATCCGACTGAAGGAGCTGCAGCATCGCCTCGACGACAAGCGCATCACCCTTTTCGTGCCCAACGATGTCAAGGACTGGCTCGCGGATCGCGGCTATGATCCCAAGTTTGGTGCTCGCCCGCTCAACCGTCTGATCACCAATGAGATTGCCAACGGTCTCGCCGACAGGATCATCAGGGGCCAGCTGCGGATGGGTGAGACGGCAGAGGTCAAGATCAGAGAAGATAAACAAGGTCTCGAGATCCTCGAGGCCGCCACAGCCACTTGAGGTCAATTCTGATCAAACCCTGACACGTTGAGAAAAAGAAACTACTCGAAAAACAAACGCAAAAAAAAACAAAATCCCCAGCTATGGCACGGGTTTATTTACGAACTGTTATTGATCTAATGATAACCATGTACTATTCACATATCCCCTCTTTGTACCATCTATCATAGTTATTTCTCCAGATACCCACCTTAGATATACCATTAATTCGATACCAGCATTATCATTATTACCATCACATGATTGCTGCCTAAACTTACGGATGACATTGTCAAATAGTAAATATGAATACGAGAATCTAAGTTTGCCATTGTAGTGTTTAGACGGCAATGAATCGTTGAGTTGAACCCAAAACCACATGTGACATTTTACCCAAAGGAAAGCGTGCCACGAGTGGCCATGCAGCGCACCTCGGACTGCTGCAGATGGTTCAAGACCGGCAGGGCCGGACCTGTAAACATTCACCGGCGCCAGGAAGATATGTTCCCGCTAGTAGAAGGAGTCATACATAGGTATGAGCGAAAGTGTGGTAGCTGTAAAAGCACCTCCTCCCAGCTTCTTCTGAAGTTTTCTTCTCTACAATCCGCAAAAGAAGAAGCAAGCAGGATTACTTAGTCTCAACAGCCTGCCCTGGCGCATCTCGTATTTCGATCTCCTGTTATCTTAAACTCGGCATCATCATCCTGGCTGATACGATGTCTCGGCGCAGTTCAGATTCAGTTTCTACAGTGCGTGCTGCTGATGGGCAGAGTACGCCAAGATCTCTAGATAAGCCTGACCAAATCATTGAGGCGCTCCAACAGCTTTCAGTCCAGATGGACCAGGTTTCTAGAAATATATCTGGAATGCTCAAACAAGTGGTTGATAAGTGTGAAGCAAGCAAGGCCTCAAGAAATAATCGGCTGGCCAGTTCGATATCTCCTCGGTCTGTACCACCATGTGACGCTCTTGTCTATGTCACTAATAATTTACGACAGGATTCAAAATGATGATAGAAAGAGATCAAATCGAGAGCGGATGCTCAAAGATCCATTGCTGCCCTTTCTACCCCTAGTCAATTCCACGACAGGAGGAGAAATCCCATCCTTCCCTTCTGACTTAAAGGCCCTAAACGAGCTCAACGGTAAGTTTGATAGCACTCCAGTAATACATAGGCCATCATATACTAATTTTTCGATTCTAGCATCAGATATACTTCCAATCCTCGACGCACTCGGAGTTGAAACAACTGCAGCTGATGGTACCTCGCTTCGGGAGAGGCTCCGGCAGGCTATCATGTGATCCCTCACCCGATCATGAGAGCAATAATGGACCGAAAGAACGGGATGGGAGCCCGGGAGTCTGGGCGTTGCAGTGTTTTACGTTCAATGTTTTCTCTCAATAGTGAGATTCTTTTCAATCACAGATTGTCTTAATGCTTTCTCAGCCTTGAGACGTTTAGCTGCCTGCTTCATATAAGGACAGAGAACGGGATAAAGAAAACAGAAGCTTCAAGGATCTACTTAGAAAACCCGAGTCATGGAAAAATAAAAAATAAAAGATGATAAGGTGATGAATCGACTCCCCTGTGTACAAATTTTCAATTTTGATTCCCAGCTTCCCGAGACGCCCCAAAGTCCTCCTTTGAGTCTTTCTTCCAAAACGCACATAGTGCCCCTCAAAATTAAAACCCGACCGGGGAGTCGCGCGAGGACGGACCCGGGCGAACCTCACAACAGTAGCACTATAAGATGAAAAAGGAGGGCGCAGAGGCCGCGAGGGAAATAGCGACATGGCTTATCAACTAATTTCGATTGGGATTTCCACGACATTGTAAATTACAACCGAAACTTCGTTACGGCAAGGTGGGGAGCACGTAGTAGAGAGAGCAGGAAGATGGTGGCGTTGACTAGAATGCGATTTCTATTCGTCCCTCTACTGGTGGCCAGCCTTGCGGAGGGTGGTGGCGAGCCACTCGAGACCCTCGTACAGACCATCTCCAGAGGTGGCGCAGGTGGACTGGATGTACTGTTTGGGGGGAGGAAAGTCAGCACAGTGGATACGAGAGCAGAATCTACAAGATTGCCGAGGCGACTTACCCAGGCACGTTGGCGCAGGCTGTGAAGGCCAAGCTTGTCTGTGATCTCGGCAGCGTTCATGGCGTTCTAGAGATGGCAGAGTTAGCATTTGCTGGACTGGAGGGCGCGCCAGGGGAGCGCTGTTTTTGGGGTACTTACAGGAAGATCCTGCTTGTTGGCAAATACCAGGAGGATGGCATCCCGCAGCTCATCCTCGTTGAGCATGCGCTGGAGTTCCTCACGAGCCTCAACAATACGATCACGATCGTTGCTGTCGACAACGAAAATGATACCCTGGGTGTTCTGGAAGTAGTGCCTCCACAGAGGACGGATCTTGTCCTGACCACCGACATCCCAGACGGTGAACTGAATGTTCTTGTACTCGACAGTCTCGACGTTGAAGCCTGAGAGACGCATGAGAAAACGAAGCGATTCATTGATGAGCAGCCACACGGGCCAGAGAGGGCGAGGACATACCGATGGTGGGGATGGTGGTGACGATCTCACCAAGCTTGAGCTTGTAGAGGATGGTGGTTTTACCGGCGGCGTCGAGACCGACCATCAGGATTCGCATCTCCTTCTTCCCCCACAGCTTGTCGAAAATCTTTGAAAAGGCGAGACCCATGTTTGCGACTCTTGCGGCCGAGGCCTATTGCGATATGGAATAGGTAGGGCGGCGTAAGTTTGTCCTGAAGTGAACCACGCGGTCAGTATTGGTGAGTTGAGCGAGAGGAGGGTTTTTTTCCCCCTATCGAGCGTGTAGATTGCGAAAAGCAGACGAGGTGAAAGCCAGTTGATGAGTGCAATTGGTCTCGAGATTGGGATCGAGGCCCGCGTGTTGTGTCTTTATGCTGCCATGCGCCGACAGAGGACACATCGTCAAGACCAGCTGGGACCACTCTAGGCTGCTGCAAATCACGGGGGGGCGTAGCGGGCGAAGTCGAGTCTCCTGTCCGCCCAATAACACGGCTGCCGGCGCAGGCATCGATAAAAAGGAGCAGGCAGGGGAGAACGAAGGCGTGGTGGAACTTACTGTTCGTCAGAGAATCCTCAACGTGACACGGAGGATGACGATGGAGGCTATCGCGGGTTTTGACAGTCGGTGTGGATGCTGAATGGGAGGTCGGAGGGGTGAGAAAGGGTGCAGGCGTTGAATTTTGGGGCCGGGCAAAGGAGAGAGGAAAATGTTTAGCTCAGCAGGCGATGCTCACTGCACTTGCGCTGTGCCAGGGCGATGGTGAGGTCAGTCCGGCCTGGCTTCTTGTTTTGGGGGGGGAGGACGCAGAGGAGGGGGCATGGCTCTGCCGCTAATAACAAGCTGGCCCACTGGCGAGCTTGCCACAGGCTGGTGACTGGTACTTGCACGGCATGGTTCAGCAGGTCCACTCGCCCTACGAACCCCCTTATTGCAGCCACTGAGATTGTACATGCCACTCAAGGCGTGCTTTTCGTAATCTTGATAAGAGGTACCAACAGCAACACGGACACGTTATCGCGCCAGAAACAAAGCTGAGCCGGTTCAAGTACACTCAAGGTATCCATCCACAGCTTGCACGCTTCCACAGTACTTGCAGGGTACAAAGAAGGTGCTAGAGTGTCCTCTTCGACCGCAAGTACGTACCTCAAACTCGACCACCATCTAACCCCTTGTTCGAGCGACGCCATACTGGGAATCGGATACCCGTTTCTCCTGACGCCGAGCCGCAACTGTCCCCAGAAACCTCCAAGCTGTCAATTCGAGGTCCCAGCATCAGGCAGCCTCCAAAATCTCTTGGACTACACCACCTGCCTCTCAGCCTCCCGGTTTCAACTTCACAGCAGCCTGCAAGAAAAAGGACAACAATGCATTTCCTGTCGGCGGCCAAGTCCCTGCTCCTGGGAGCTGTCGCCTTCCAGACAGCTGTCGCACACAACATCGCCCTGGGCTCCCATGGCGTCGAGTGCTTCCACGAGACTCTGCACAAGGATGACACCATGACAGTCACCTTCCTGGTGGGCGACCGGGAGTTTGGTTCAGCAGGCAACCTCGAAATTGATTTCTGGGTATGAAGATATCCGACATGTGTCCTGAACCTTGGACTTTGCACGTGCACGGGTTGCTAACGAAGGGATCAGATTATCAACCCCGCGAACCAGTATGAGGTGAACGAGAAGTCCGTCACGTCTGGTGACCACTCCTTCACCGCCCAGCATGATGGCAAGTACGGATACTGCTTCGGCAACCAGCACTGGGGGGCCAACACCAAGGAGGTCTCCTTCAACGTCCACGGAATTGTCTACGTCAGCGAGTCCGACGCCCTAGCTGACCCATTGGAGAAGGAGGGTAAGTAGCAGAGAACGATCCAATGATCCATAGCGGTTTGGTCACTAACATGCAATCGCCAGTCCGTCAACTGAGCGACCTCCTCGACCAAGTCAAGGATGAGCAACAGTACATCGTCATTCGCGAGCGCACCCACCGCAACACTGCCGAGAGCACCAACGGCCGAGTCAAGTGGTGGAATCTTTTCGTCATCGGAATCGTCGTTGGGGAGTCGCTGTTCCAGGTCTGGTGGCTGCGCCGCTTCTTCGAGGTCAAGCGTGTGGTATGATGATTTTTTAAGGGGGCAAGGGAACCGGGGAACACCAAAAATGCAGGCAACAAGGTGACTCTCGAAAGCGGCCTGTTTGCTGTTGTAAGAGAGAGATGTTGTTAGTTCTAGAGCTGGGTTTCAGCATATTGGCGCAAAAGGTAAAATCTCTGGGAATTGGTTGATCAAGCTGGCTGAACAAGCGTGAAACAGCCGATGCATTTGTATCAATATAATGGATAAGCATATGTCGCCAACTCCTCAAGTTGAAACGCACAGAAGAAACTAAAGTATGTCATGGTTGGCCAAAGTGAGAGAATCATCATAAGTGAAATACCCAGGATAGTAGTTACCAGCCATGTTAGTTTTAGAGCCTATTTCTTATGAAGTCAAGGATAGTCAATGGGCAGGCCAGGCTATCTGTGGGCATTGTCCAAGCCACTCAATTCTCAATGACGACAAATGTGAGTTAGGAACAAGAAACATTATGGGTTAACATAAACAGCTAGATGAGGGAGAATATTGCGTAAAAAGTCCAAGTTCAGAGTTATCAATTAGCTCTAATAAAGAAGTTTGCGAATTCATCCAAATGCTTCATTATCTCGCTCGTAAATGACAATATCCAACGCCTCTTGCCATCCCATGATGTGTGCCAATTATATACATGTATACGCCCGCCCGCTCGTCTAATTCGTCGTCACGTCCAAACTACGCCCCGGGATCCAGAATATCATATTGACCTCCATCATCTTTCGCCTCCGTTGTGGATGGTGCCTCTAAAGGAGCTTCAACCGGTATCTCAACTTCCTTGACAGGATGAAGGAGGACTGGAGGCAGACACATTCGTCCTTCACCTCCAGGCATCTCACCAACGGAACCACCGCTCTTCGTCTTGTCCTCTGTCAGTTCAAAGTCTTCTCCACCATCATTATTGACTTTGAGTCCCAACCATCTTCTGTAAAGATTTGGTGCGAATCCAGATCGATAAAACCAGGAAATTCCGTGCATGTTATGCTCTCTGTCGCCAAACATGCTTGCACGAGATCCACCGCTAGTGCCATCACGTCCACCATTATAGACTTGGGACATGTAATCCAATGGCCACTTCCGGTCAACAAACATAGGGTGTGGTGCATAAACTGCCTTGAGACCGTGCTGAAGAGCAACCGTGGCAGGCCACATCTCAGGGAATGCAAATTGCTTCTTGTACGCAGTCATCTTGTGCATCAAGAGAAGCAGGCGACGCGACATTCTGGATGTGGTAATGATGTTGGCTCGGCGAGGGGGCATCTCTGTTCGGTTGTAACCGGTAATATCATCTCTCAGTCCCCAGGTCGTTCCGTCAGGATCAAACATGGGGCTGAGTGAGATGTAATCAGCCTCCTCTCCAACACCCCATTCAGAGCGGTCCTTCTCTGGGCCACCGGCTGGTGGAATTGGGTCGTTTCCGGGCTCGAACCAATCATTATCATCGGCAGGTCGCATAGGACCCCAGACCATCTTCCTTGGCTTCGAGCCCTTGTCAGGGTTGTCCACGCCTGGAACATCTTTCCACACATTGTCTGCACCAGCGGCTCCCATTTCGGTCTGAACTCGACTTAATTGACTGAAATCATCCCATGAACCATGGACTTCAGGAAAATAGAATCTCGAGTTTCGCTCCCAGATACCCTTTCGAGGTTGTGCCTTGGCCCATCGCTCAATCTTAGAAAATAGATCATAGTAATGGCCGATGTAGCGCACATCCAATTCCCATTGCCAGAAGTAATCGTATTCGGGGTGCAAATAAGCAAAGTATTGCATAGCCATGGACAGTCCTCGGTACACACCATGAACAGGCAGGTCTGGACCTCGGGTGTAGAGATCATAGATGCCTTGGTACAGTGACAACATTTGCGTCTCAGTCCAAAGAGTGACCAGTCCACGGAATTCTTCTGGGATTGTGTCTCTGATTCTCGCCTGGTAGGCTTCCTCGTCAGCCCAGATAGGGTGTCTTGCGTCGTCCTTGATCTGAACCAGGAGATGAATGTCATATCGACCACCAGATGCCAAAGAAAGTTCGGAAATCATAGCTCGGATGGCTGCGATGTCGTCTTCCCTGTAGAAATACTCATCATAACCCCGGATGACAACAGCGGTCCTTGACTTCTTCTCGGGTGGGATACGAATTACTTCATCGTCGGATTCAGTCTTGTGCTCCTTGTCCTGGCCGCTTGCTTTGGGTTTTTGGGGTGCATCATCGGATTCTGTCTTATGCTCCTTGTCCTGGCCGCTTGTTTTAGGTTTTTGGGGTGCATCATCGGGAGTGTCTCGTTTATGGGCATTGGTCTTCTTCGCCGCAAAGTCATCGATATAAAATCCGCGGCGCGTGGACACCTTTGCAGGCATGTCCTTGAAACGCTTAACATTGGACCTGTAGCATCGCCGTTGGACATCAGCCCAGTCAATGGACTTGTAGTCCACACGAGGAGACGCTTGCCATATGGCAGCAGCGCCTTCCTTATCTCCGCTCTCGCCAGTGCCCAGACCACCAGTATTGACGGAATACCCAAAGCCATAGGGACCAAATCTTCCATAGCGCTCAAAGCAGATATCTTCGGGCAAGTCTAGAACATCATATGACCCAGTGACATGGCGGGGGAAACCCTCGGGGCGGCCGTTGTAGAAGTGGACTTGGGGAACGCGAATTGTACCAGCAGCATCGAGGAAACACTCTTCAACATCAGGCTCCTCGATCCTGCCTTTGTATTTGTTCCAAGGTTGGCTCTCGGGCTGTGATTGTTCCTGCGAGTCTTGCGATTGAGAGTTGGGCTGGTGGTCTGAGTCGGGGTACTCAGGTTTGCTGTTCTCCAGAGTCTTCAAGCGACGAACACCACCGTAGTATCGCTCTATGAATGGGAACCGCTCCCACACAGGTGGAGGCGGTGGTCGGTTCTCTGTTTGGCCGTTTTCTACTTTCCAGTTCTCGACCTGGCTAGCCCTCATCAAGCTGAGGATGATGAGCATGAGGGTACCGAATATTCCAATACACAAGTACCGCGTCACCTTGGTCGGT